AAAAAAAAAAAAAAAGGTGTAAAAGAATGTTGCTTTTTCATCATGGTTGAAATTGACAAAAACACCTACTCATGGGTAGCTACTCTCGTACTCGGGACATTAATGGGCTGTTCCGTAACTCACTTTCTAGAAGACATTTTTGGGAAGCAATACGCAAATATGACCTGGCTTTTGGCTTAAGAAAATAAATTTTTAGACACAAAAGTTAATGATAAAATATAATCTATTATATTTTTTTTTGTTATTAATTATAATGCTTCAAGGTAAAATAACAATCTAGAAAAGTAATTGATTATGCATCTTGGAAGAAAATTTTCCAGCGTTTTTGAAATAGAAAAACTTTACGGATGCCTAATTGATTACTTTTCTTATTTAGCTAATTGTTTTGCTTTTGGAGTATTATAAATTTTTTGTTGATTTTTGTGCTTGGAAACTTAATTTCCTGACCCCAAACGAAGTCATTTTTTGGTACGGTTTCCCAAAAATATTTTCTCAAGAGTGGGTTACCATACCAAACAATCCCTACGGGTATTATTGTTTTTTAATTCAAATAGATAAAAATTTTATTTTGAAATTTTTTTTAAATTATATTATAATTCATCTTGTGATAAATTATAACATCAAAACTATTAAAAAGGAAAAACCTGATAGTTGGATCTCCTCTCTTATTTTAATGACTCGATGTTATAGTTCATCACACATGATACTCTTAAGGAAAATAATACAAAATATTATAATGAAATATAAAAGTTGTATTGGCGGGGGGTTCTGACAATAATAAGATGATGTTGCTTTTCCAGATCAGACAACGTAACCATGCCCAATTCCCGCTCTCAAAGGCCTAACAAGAAAAGAGTCTTTTATTTTTCTCTAGATTTGGTGCGTACAACTTCTTCAACATGTTCAGCTTCACGTGTGTTGTGTCATTATACATTTGAAATGCATTTAGAGAAACTGGAATTATACGTTAACAATCACTTCTGTTTAGATGAGTCATTTGGTCTGCTTAATTAAATTACTCATGAAAATTAATTTCCTTTCTTCAATGGTAAGGATTTTTTTATTTCTTTGATATTCTTCGTGGTTACAAATCTTCTAATTCTAATGTTATTGACTTGTTTTTGACGTGAATGAAAAAATTATTATAGATTTGATTAAGATTAAAACATTAGTGCCATATTTTCCTCAATTGTTGTTAGTAGGAACTTATTTAGAACTTCATATTGTTAGAAGGTAATAATTCTCTTTGAAGTTCTCTATTTATATCATCTAGTTAAGTGCTTTTCTTTTAAAAATTATAGACTATTGTAAACTTAGTGTCAAAATGTTTTTCTCAAAAAAAAAAGTCCTTAAGCGTTGTAGATAATGGAGGCCGTAGTTGCACAACCACGGATCACGATCCAACCCTGACAATTTTTACTTCGACATGAAGGTTATCATCTTAGTGAGTGTCTATGTGGTATAATTGCTCTTGTTGATTTATATTCCTTTTTGGCATAATTGCTCATTGTCTTATCCACATAAACTCGAAAGGATAACCAAGAAAAGTCACATATCCCCCAATAACTTAAAGCCTTAAATATTTTAGTAGTAATTTCTCTTCCAAGCAAAATAAAAATAAATAGTTTTATATTTCAACTTTAAACATATAGATATAGACTTAATAAAGAAATTAGAGGGAGTTAATATTTTTTTTTATTGTGCAACTTAATACTAAAAAATAAAATAAAATAAATCACAACGCGAGACTAAACTTAGACATAAATTATATAAAAGCCGTTGCATGATACTGATATGATGGCATCCAAATGACTCGACAATTTTTCTACACATCGATGTCACATGCATTAAGCGATAGTTGCTGGGCAGATCCATAAGACAAAAATGTCTCTAAATATCAAAATCAAACGACAGGTACAATAGATTCAATCCCAGGAGAAAGAGGTATAATGGGTTCAATGATCAGTGGAGCATTTCGTCGAAGAGACTACAGGCAGAGTAAACAAGAATTTAACAGGCAAATGATAAAGAGGGTCATCACGAGACTCCCAACCCAGAGTTTTTCCAGTCTTCTGCTACTCTGATATGGACTCTTTTACCCGAGAAAAGGCTGCGCCTTTTGTGGATTTAAGGTGAGAAGTGATGCAAGCAATGGAGGAAATGAAGTTCGTAATTCCTATATATTCACAGATCATGAGATGATAGGATTTCGATGGATTAACCTTTGGACAAGTATGACCGTCGCCTTATTCAGCATGTAATGTAGCAGTCACTGAAGTGGACTGCTGAGGTCCCAAGAGCCAAGAACGTTTCCTTGACCCTTTCTTTGTCCTCATCATTTGTTTCATAGGAAACGGATCAACGAAGTCGTGACCGTTTTGAATTTCGATTAGCAAACAAAATTTCTCAATCGCTCTCTCTTGCCTATTACTTTATTTATAAAAAGTTAAACTTTTAATTTAGTCCCTCAATTATTTTATGAATCTTTGATTTGATCCTTAAACTAAAATAATCCCTGATTTGATCTTTATTGTTTACCAATTTAGTTTCAAGTTGGTTCTTTTGTTAAAAAACAGGTGATGTATTTGTTATTTAATGATAGAAACCTATTATTTAACGATCATATATTATGTTAATAATAAGTTACGTCATTCATTTTTGAATGAAAAAATCAATTTATGATTAAATTGATAAATAGTATGGATCAAATTAAGGATTTCTTTTATTTAAGGATTTTTTTTATTTAAGGATTTTTTTTTTATTTAAGGACAAAATTGAGGATCCGTACAATAATTGAGGAATCAAATTGAAGGGTTTAATCTTTATAAAAATATTCTTGCAAATTGTTTTTATTCAATCTAAACGAAATAAGAGAGAACATAATCAACTATGTAATGATTTTTTCTAATAAACGTAAGAGTTATTAAGTTTGAATTATATGTTATATGTAAGAAAAGTGAATTAAGGAATATAAAAGATTTGTTTTTATTGTACATTATAATTAAAAAGAAAGAAAGAGAGAAGAAATAAGCAATAAAATAAATATCACTTGTTCTTATAGCTGAATCAGTAAGTTGTATTAAATGGTTTTGGATCGCCCTTCATTCTGAATCTTCAATCAATCCTAAGATGGCGTGTTTAATCCAAATTATCATTTAATAGAGGGCAGTGGTGTGAGCCCTGAAAGGTTCTTTAGTCTTGAAGGGACTTTGTCTTAGTGGTCCTTAACATTGAAAAATAACTGTAACATCTATTCCAAGCATGATTTGCACCAATCTTAATAAATTCTTTCAATTTCTTTTGAACGGTACTGAAATAAATTCTTTCAATTTTTGAGGTTGCCAATGGTGTGCTTTTTGATTTGGGTAAGATTCTGCATTTGTCTCTGTTTTTGCTTCTTCACACGTTGATTGACTATGTTCAATTCTGTTTCACTTTTGAAAGAGTGACACGTTAACTTTTTGGACACATGGGTGATGAAATCCTTCTGCTTTTAAGACAAACAGATCACAATTTTGGTTCTTGGATCTTAGTTGATCGTGGCAGATTCTCCGGTGTCTCATTGCATGTCCAGTTTTACTTTCGGACTGAAATGTGATTATGACGTGTGTATAAGCATTATAACAAACTACTATTAACAGCTTTTGACGTTTTAGGGTCATATACACCTTGGACTAAAGAATTATTAACTGCTTTTGAGGGTTTTGGTTTGGGTCATTTCATTCTTTCAGTTCGAATTCCCATTGTCCATTCTAAACAATTCATTATTTCATTAGTTATTTCACAGGTAATAATGCAACCATCACTTGTTATCTATAAGGTGTAAGGATCTCTATTTCATTGATGGAGGTGCTGCTGCATCAGACCAAACAACAATAACTAAATTAAACTTGGCTGCCAAGCTCCAGCTCCTCCTGATTTGAGCCTCCACTTTCACTTCTAAGGCTGTGAAGGGGCTTAAAAGTATAGAACTTCATGCATAACATGTAATATACAAAATTAAGTGCTTGCAAAATTGTAATCAACCAGTAAAAATTCTCCAACTTCCCCTTATTCAGGTTTTTGTCAGGAAGCCAATTTGATCCATCAGCCCCCGAGCTAAATTTGTGCACAAGACTAACCAGGAGTGAGCTGACATAGTCCCCGACAGAACTTGCCGTCCAGAACAGAGCAGTAGCTGTGCTCCTCATGCTTTCCGGAGCTTGGCTATAGAAAAATTCTAGATGACCAATTGACATGAAAGCCTCTGCAATACCATGAAGAGCATACTGTGGTACAAGCCGAAAAACAGAAATGGGAATTATGGATTTTGGGCTATCTATAAGCCCATTAACTATTGCAGCATGTTTTCTCTTTACTTCAATGAATCCAGCAACTAAAGTTGCTAAGATTTCAAGGAAGAAGCCTATAGCCATCCTCTGCAAAAAGTTTATGCCGCGGTCCAGGCCTGTGAATTTGCGGGCAATAGGGACAAACAGGCGGTCGTATATGACTATGGTGATGAGCATGGGGATCATGCTGAAGACAGACAGGGAAGCAGAAGGGATTTGGAACGATTTGGAGAGGTGTCTGTTCATGGTGTTGGCTTGTTGCAGGTAGAATGTGCTCTGTTGGGCAGTGGCTGTGGCGAAGAGAATTCCAGCTGCCCAAATGGGCAACATTCTGATTGTACATTTCAATTCCTCAACCCTATGAATAGTGTTGAGCCTCCATAGATTTGGTTTTCCTGTGGATTTTATGTTGTCTTCTTCAGTCTCAATGGCGGCTTTGTCTAAAAATCTGCTTGTCATAGAAATGAACAGGTGAGAAAACACTGAAACAATTCAGGAAAAGTAGTGTCTCATCTGTGGAAAACTTACTTGAATTGGTTACTATGATGACACATCCCATCTTTGAAATTGAAGCATCAAGCTCCCTGTTTACATACAGCAATTCAGGGCTAGAAACCAGGGGGACTTTCCTCTTCCTAAAGGCTGCCACAATGACTTGTAAAATACGAACAAAAGGACTCCCGGCCGGATATTGTTTGGATTGGAGGTGTCGGACGGAGAGGGAGGGGAAGGGATGGGGACGGATGGCAAGGGAGAGGGAGCGAGGGGGACTGTCTCTTTCCTCCTGTTTGGGTTTTCAAAGAGGCAGAGGGAGAGGGAGATGGACTGATTCGGACTCCCTCCAACTATCCTCAAATTTGATCCTCAAATTTGTAGATTGACAATCCGTCCGATTTGGAGGATTTGGGAAAGATTTGAGTGGCTGTTTAGATTAACTTAAATGTAATTACAAAATTAACCTTAATTTTTTTATTATATCCTTCTTCATTACAAGTTTAAAGGATAAATTTACAAATTTAAAATTAATTTAAATCTTTTCCTTATTTCCCTTCCTTTTAACTTAATTATCTAAACATAAAATAATACAATCATTCCCTTCCCTTCCCCTTCCTCATTTTTATTTATCCAAACAAAATTAACACAAATCATTTCCTTCTATTTTCTTCCCTTTCCTTTCTTTTCCTCCCCCTCTATTTCCTTTTATTTTCCTCCATTTCCCTCCCTTCCCTTCCCTTTACTATTTTCTATCCAAACAAGGGCTAAATTCCGGTAAAGTGAGTAACCGACCAGAAACACCACTATCGACAGTGCCATGGCGATGGTGGGGATACCGAGGCCCCATCCCCATCCGACGTTGTCTTGAATATAGACAAGCACTGTGGATGCCATCAACATTGCAGCCCCCATTGCAAAGAAGAACCAATTGAAGTAAACCCATGTTTTTTTAGTTTGCTCTGGATTGTCCTCCACAAATTGCTCCGCCCCAAATGCAGCCACACATGGCCGGATTCCGCCTGATCCTAGGGCTCTTAGTAGAAGAGATAGAAAGAGGATCCACAATTGTGTGTCATTGGCCTCTTTGCACAATCGGTTGCCTTCGCAGGGAGGTGGCCTTAACTGTGGCAGTGCAGCTGATAAGGTCAGGATAATCATTCCCTGCAAATGAAATATTTGAACACAAATGATAATTAAGTAATCTAGATTGTTAAACGAAAATCAATACAACAAATAAAAAAAGTTTAAGATTTCTAGAAAGGGAAAAAAAATTTTAACCAGTAAATATATCATGGATGAAACAGTGATAGTCCAAAATTTTCCAGCGTATGAATCTGCAATGAAAGCTCCAAGCAATGGGGTGAGGCTGGAAGTTCCATTGTAGTCGGTAACAGTTTTTGCTGCTGTTGTCATAGGCATATGAAGCTGCAATGTCAAGTAGTTGACCATGTTTCTGGTGAAGCCCATCATTGCCATCCTCTCACAAATCTCATTCCCTAAACTCAGAAAATTAAAACACCATTAACATCAAAAAAGAAATTTGGACTCGCAGATTTCTCGTACAGATCCAAAGACAAGGGAGTTTAGTTACCTAAAATAAATGCTATTGTCTTTACTCCACCCTTTTCCTTTCTTTTCTCTTCCATATCTCTCTGCTCCAAATCCAGATCTGGATTCATGTGCCCCTCTCTCCACCAAATCTCGAGAAGCTAATCTCTTTCTTCACTTTGCTTCTGCTCTATTAGCATGAACAAGCCTTTCATTTATAGCCTTTTTAATTCCTTTTTCACGCAGTAGTTTAAGAATACTAACACACTAATATTTAAATTTCTTCTTGACTTCACTTTCATTTTGGTCGGATGAGTGCTGCATATATTATTATGATAAAGCCAAGCATAAACTATGGAGCTGGATGGAACTGAAACTTCTTAATCAAGACTATAATATTTTTTAAAAAAATAAATGAAAGTTCAAACCTAAATTCTTATGAATCTCTTATGGCTCCAAAACTAGGAGAAGGCAAGTGTCAGTTATCAAACCTCCCACACGTTTAACAAATTTTTAATTTTTTTGGGGATCTCTTATTGATTGATTGTTTTTAAAGGTAACCCCTCAATAATTGATGTCACGTTAATGAAAAATGAATCAGCGTAGTCAAAGCCTCGAATGAAAATAGAGATAGATAATTTAAAATTTAAAGAAGGGCTGCAGTAGGAAGATTTAGGTGTATATGAATTAACACAATTACAATTTTAAGAGAAGATGATGAACAACTCATGGCAAGCTGAAAGTTCTTGAAATAATATATATATAAGTAAGATTTATTTATACATAAATTTTATACATTATATGTATATAAAATCTCAATTATTTATCTATTTATCTTTAATAATTAAGATTTATTTATATTTATTAAAAATAATTATTTAAAAAATTATGATAAATTTCAACCATTAAAAATAAAAAAATAAATAATTAAAAATTTATATAAATATAATAGATAAAATTTATAGATAAATAGATTCCTCTTCCATACTTATAAAAAATGAGTGGATGGGTGTTGGTTGGACTAAAAGAATATTATCATAATTTTACATTCTAGAGATCCGAATTGTTCAACGTTCGCTGATTCATGATCTTGGAACTTTTATTCCAAACCACCTAAGATAAAAACAGGGAGGATGACATAACTGATGACAGAGTAATGCATGAATAATGGAGAACATTAACGTAATTAAATATGGATCACACACGAACTTTACCGTTTGATCGGCTGACACATTGTCTTCTTGTCTGACTTCAATTTTTGCATGATTAAATATGTTCCTGCTGCCTATATTTATCTTTACTTTTTTTTTTCTGCCATGTTAAAATGTCAAGCTGATTGAGACTAGTTGCTACTGTTACTGAGCCAGATTACCATTTTTCCTGCCATTGATGTTTCTGTTTTGATGCAGAAACATTGACAGGGAAATTGGATGGAACCCTTCAGACTATGGAGAAAGCAACAATTTGAGTGCACATGGCCAGAAATTCTTGCCCTGTTTAAAAACAAAATGTGGGTCGTGCAAATGACATCGGATTGAGCCCCGACAGGCATGGCCGGCTATGTATTTTAATTTTCACACACAGCTTTGATCAACAATAATTCAGAACTCGACCCTACGATCGTCACTCCCTCTTACCTACTGTTTTAACGTTTATACTAATTACTACAAAAAAATATTCCCATAAAAAATACAAACAAAAAGGGTAAAGATTACTGGCCGTAAAATTTGAATGACAAGAAAATGTTAGTTAAAATTCAGGCACCTTTAAAAAGATTAAGCGAATGAAACCAACTTATACAGATGCAAGATTCCAATAGGCAATGACTTAACGCCTTTCCCTCCAATTCCCAATCCAAAATATATGATTTTTTTTTTCTTATGTTTCCTAAATATGTAATTTGGTTATAGTTATGACCATTATTAAATTTGTTAAGGTCACAAAAAAATATTAAATTTTTATCTAAATTTGATTATTAAAAATGATTAATAACTAATAAAATAATTAATGTTATTATTTAATAAATTAAAATTAATTTATATACTGATATTTGTAAATATCACAACCAATTATTTAAGAGAAAAAAGTATAAACTGATAAAACTACAATTAAATTAATAATTTTAACAAATTTAAGAATGACAATAACTTCAACTGTGTAGTTTGGACAGTAGTCACACCTCCACTAACCAAAGGTACTCATTAAAATATAAAAGTGAGGCCAGAACCGAAAGACCCAAATATAAGACTCAACCGCAGCCTGTAAAGTAAAAAACCAAACGCCAATAAGATTGGTCCCTATTAGGAAGAGAGATTAAGGTCGTTTTTAGTTCAGAATAACTTGTTAAGCGGATCAAACAGTTCTCTATAAAAAAAATAGAGTCAGAATTTAAAGAAGTACCCGACTCACAACAGACAGGGAGGACAAGGATTTATTCAATCACATAGTTTGAGATCCTAGAATATGATGCTCTTGGGACTTTCTATCGGAGTGTTTCAAAAGGCCCAGTGAAATGGGATTTTTCCCTATTGGGGGGATCATTTCAGGGCAAGTGGATATCCCGCGCTCAGTCCCACCTGACCTGTCCATCTGCAGATTTTAATAAAATACAGTAGTTGGATACTAAATTGTATCCACAAGCTTACCAGGATATTTTGTATAGAAGTTTTTAATGGTTTCTAACAAGAGAGAAAGATACATCTTAGGATTCCTTGTCTTCTCCAAATAATTCACACCACTTGATTAAAATAAAGTTGGCAAAGTCGAGGAGGAAGAAAATTAACCCAAAAAAAAAAAATAATAATAATAATAAATGTACTTGGAAATTTACTGCTCTAACCATTTCTTTCACCCAACAAGTCAATCCTCGAACTCATTCATGTGATCTAAAAGATAGTTTGCTGCCAGCTCCTCATTCTTGTTGCAGGCAAAGAAAACTTGAAGCACGGTTGCCCGATCAAAGCCCATTGCTTCAAGCTGCAAAAAGTTGGGAGTAAAAGGCAGATGATCAGTAAGGTAAAGAAATTCAACAATAGAAAAAAAAATCGAAGAGAGAGAAAGGAAATTGACAAAAATTTAAGAACTGACTGTCAACTTCAGGTCCTACACCATAACTATCTAAATCATAAACATAGATTAAGTACTACTACATGCAGCAGAAAACAGAAACTATTCAAAGCATGTTGTATCCCCATATTCTTCTCTACTTCTTTTTTGTTTTACATCATGATAACTTACTCGTTCTATGGCTTCACGCTCCTCAGGTGTGACTGTTAGTGTCTGTGGCATTGCATCAGCAAGTTGCCCCAATATATTCCTAGACACATCAATTAGCAAATAAGCACACTTAAGGTTCAAAACATCTGTCTGAAAAATAAGCTATCAAAAAATGAAGACTCACCCCTCTCCTCCTTCAACAGGTTCATTGATGAGGTGAAGAAAGTCAGCCTGATGCTCTTGAATAAGCCTCACTAAATTAGGATTTTGTTTCCCCAACTCTTGAAGCATAGGCTGCAGAAAAGAAGTTTTATTAAAAATAAAAAATATAAAGTCGTGATAAAGAACATTGATTTGTCCAACCAAAAGAGATTGCTGAAAAAACCTGCAATATCTGTGGGTTAGCCTGAACCATTGCCCTCAAAGCTTGAAACTGAAAATGAGAGAGACAAATATTAGTTTCAAAGGAGTATAATTGACGGTAACATGTTTGCGCACGTTGTGAGAGAGAGATACCTGTTGACTATTGCGTAAGAACTCAAGAGAGCCTGCACCAGCAGCACCTGACCCCATGTTGGGAAGCCCCTGCATTTAAAAGAACAGAGTCAACTGCTGAATTATGTGATTCCATATGAATATTTAACAATGTAATAAGTACCTGGGGAAAGAGATCCAAAGGATTGGCGTTCGGTCCAGTAGAAGGTGGGGCTGGTTGTGCAGGCTGTTGAGGTTGAACTGGTGGATTAGTGGGTGGGACACTCACTGGGGGACGGGCAACTGGTGGTAATTCAGCTTCCTCAGGGATACCCTGATAATTGCCATTAAAAGAAAAAAACAGTAAACAAGAGTAGATATGCTAAAACCCAAAAAACCACAGATGAGAAAAGATTTGAAGGAGCTAAAGGGAACACCAAATGGTAAGGCACAAAAAAGAGAAACGGAACAACAAAACATCAATTTCTAGGCAATATCTTTTTTAAAGCAACTGAAGTATTTTCAATAGAAATGGAAACCTATCATCACAAAATCAAAATGTTGCAGAAATGTGAGAAGTAGCCACTTGAACTGAGTATAATATACAGAATAAAAATGATCATTTTGTCCAGCATACAGCTAGAGAGGGTAATGAAATGCCAATAATCCTCACACTTTAAATCATTTACTTTATGCAATGAAGAAACAGAAAGGGCTATTTCCCATAAACACAAATCAAAGTTGATAGAATCTACTCAAAATGAAAGCAAAATGCCAGAGAGAACTCAAGTGGTATATGAGTACGTATGGTCAAATACAAGAGGGAACTTACAGAATATAAATATTCCACTGCTCTCTCTGGATTATTGTAAGCAGCACGAAGGGCACGTACAACAGTATCTCTATCCCAGGTCCCCCCACCCATATCAAGAATTTGCTGGATAGTTCCCTCCAAGTTACTTCCTGCAACTAGATTAGAGGCTGCTTGACCATAAACATCAGCCTCTGACCTGCTTTCAGAAACATCATTGAAAATATTAAAATATGTAACTAAAAAAAATGGAAAATGGTACTTGTAACATTCAAACCATATGGGCAAGAGATGAATTGAGAGCTGGCTTCAGTAATAAGAAGCAGTCTTAAATTACTATTTAGAAGAAGATACTCACCCAGCAGTGGTTGAAGTGACAGGAGCAGATACAGCAACAGATGCAGCCCTAGAAAATTAGATAATTAGTTAATCAACTTATCACTATTATTATGAACACATCATTCCTTTTCCAAAGGATGTGATAGGCCAACTTACGGAGCCGGAGTTGCAACAGGTGCAGACGAAGCTGGGGCCAGTGCAGGTGGTGATGAACTAGACTGAGGAGCCTATATAACCAGACAATTCACTACTTACAACTTGCAAACTCAGAAAAGGAACCACATATTCTAAAAGATTTTCAAAAAAGAAAAAGATGATCTATATAAAATGCATCCATGGAATTGTCACCGCTTTTACTCATTAATCATGCAATAGCAGCAAAAAGAACAACATAAAACATCAATACAGAAGGGACTTAAGTTCTCTTACCTTAGCTGTTGGAGCTATTGGAGCTATTGAAGCGGTCGAACTTGAACCAGATGAACTCTTATTCTACCATTAATTAAAGCATTGCAGTTATCATTAGTGCTAAGAAATAAAGCTTTTCCTAAAAAATGCTGGAAATGGTTAGGCTATCAAGAATTTTTTCATTAACAGGCAACATAAGAGAAATTTCACTGAATTTCAAATATCAGAGACAGATCTTTGGACATCACACCTTTGACTATTAGAAATGATCTCACCTTGGATAACATTATGACAATAAAATTATTTTCAGCAACTTTATTGTCCTCCAATGTTGAGTTATCGGCAAGGACTTTCCCCTGATGAATAAGCATTTGTTGTGCAGCAGGATAGACATCTGCACCTTGAACAGCTTCTATATTCTTTTTTACATCAGCAACCTGATAGAAGAGTCATGAGATTTTATTTCAGAAATATATCATCCACACACTGCAAGGATTTTGTATTGTGATATGTCTCTAAACCATACACATGTTATTGTAATCATATGAAAGGAATTTTCTTTCTTTTGATATATCCTCCACACACTGCAAGGATGACCAGCATCGCACATAATGATAGCTTGTTAGGAAAATAAAAATAAAAAATAAAAAAGATAATGAGATCTTTAGAAACACTATAACATATGAATGAGTGGATGGAACTATCCTCATTTCATAGACATTTAACATCAGTTACTCTCATAGAAGTTCAAAAGATTTTCAATGCTGATAAATGTTATCTGCATTACGCCTACACTCAGAATAACACAACCGATGTCTTACAAAGAAAAATAAAAACAGATATCAGTACACTCCATATCTTAGAGGCGACTAACAAACACAACAATTGAACATTCTGCTAATACAAACTGCAATTGAAAAACTGAGGTGAATTACATACTGTAAGGAAAGTATCAATCACTACTACTAGTGGTACTACTAGCACATTCTGCTTCTCCTCACTGAACTGCATTTATCATGCGACACACCACTTGTAACCGTATGACTTTGAGTCAAATGTAAATTTTCACTCCAAAACTAAAACCTAAGCAGCAAATTACATAAACCTAACATAAATTTCAAAAACTTCAATCTAAGCTATCAAGTATCAATTCGGCCTAATTATACCATGAAATTGAAGAAATCGTTCGAGATATATTCAATCAATTTCTAGTGCAAAGTCCAATAAACGCACAGAACAATCGAAAAAACAAAAGAGAATGAGATATAGCATATGAATGTTTCGTCGAACATTATAAACCCTAATTAAGCCTCAATAATTGGGGGGGAAAACGCGAAGCGGAAATCAAAAACCTAATAAAACCCATACGATAAATCAAATCGGAAAACCACCTTGTCTTCAGGTTTAACTTCGATATCGAAGTGAGTGCCTTTGAGAGTTTTGACGAAAACCTTCATCTTCTGCTAAATTCCCGATCGCCGTCGGTACGGTGTCTGGTTTTCGGTGACGTCTGCTATCTCCCTTTTTTCTTATTTTCTTAATTTTACAAAATCTCTTTCTTCTCTGGCTATTTCTCCCTCCGTTTTATTTTATGGAGTATTAAATAGTCCGAACCGGAGGAAGAAACCGAAGGTACAAGATAAGAACAACATGATATCTAAAAGAGTAATATTAGTGTATCCCCATGAGCACGGTACCTAAGAATATGATGGACGGTATCTAGAACCTACACGTAAATGAAGGTAGATCGAACGATCAAGAGATAACCATGTGGCCAAGTCGGATGACGAAATGAACCACGTGGCGTGCCGGGCAGTAAACGAATCGAGTATTTAAGCGCACCAAATTCTTCTCTTTCTTTTTGGTTCAAAAGTTAAGTCCAATAAGGAGAAAGAATTTTTTTTATTTAAAATATTATAATCTCTAATTAAAATTATATAAGAAGTAAAATATGATATTGATTTTATTTAAATAATAATTGAAATTAAATGTATTGGTAATTTTAAAATTAAATATCTTAATTTTTATATTTTAAAGAATTAAAATTTATCCACTAGGTATATATCTTTTTTTTATATATACATATTTTTTAAACTACTTAGTGCCTTACAACTTATTTATTTATTTATTATAAGGGTATTTTTAGATTAATTTTTATGTTTTAAGACAATTTTAAATCATTTTAAAAGTACATCTTTTATATGGGCCTATACATATAATGAAATTAATTTATATTGACATCAAGGTTTCAATTTTAAATTTAACTTATAAAAAAAAGATTTATTTTTTATTATATTGGAGAATTAATTAATTGGTATGAAAAAAATTCAAAATTTTTATTTTAATCTTAAATTAAGATTTTAATTTAATAAATATCGAATAAATTTTTATTTGTAATAAGACAAACTTACTATTGGATCTAACCATTAAAATGAGGGTGAGGATGAGTAGTGAGCCCTCTGGCTGTAATACTAGACCCTTCTTAGTGTTTGGGATAATTTTATGAATCCATTGTTTCATAATTTGAATTGTTAAACAATGATATATATATATATATTTTTATCTTAAATGCACAATAAAAGGCAATCATCTCTTATTTTTTATCTTATCTCACTTATATATTATGCAATTTGAATTCAGAATCTCTTATTTCCAGTAAAAAGAGATAATCACTGATAAGTTAAACAATTATATTGGAATAGGAAGAACCCAAAATATTAGTAAATTTATTTTTTATCTAAGAATTAATATTTTATAATTTACAATAATTTAACCTTAAAAATAATTGTTCATGATTTTATTGTGTACTTAATTTGTGTGTTTCTATCTAAGAATAATTATGAGAAGAGAAACCCAAAATTTGAAAAATATGCCCGAATTTTGAGGGTTATGTGTAATTTGTCATATGGTGTAAATAATTGATTAATGAGCGTATACCTGGTTATTTTGAGAGTTAATCAAATATGAACTTAAGAAAATTTGATTCCTACCTAATTTTTAAAAAGGACATTACGGACATACAATCAATTACATCTCCCGTACAGCCGAGAACATGCCCTTGCTTAAGATATTCACATTCAATGAACCGAGTTAGTCTACTGTTTTGCACGAGAATTCTTCTTCCAAGAAGGTGGAAACCAAATACTTACAAAAAATTGTTTTTTATTGAACAATTTGAGCAGGGGTCGGATCGAAATCGAACCCCGAGGCAAAGGGTGTACTTATTTAATATAATTAATATCATTAAATTTAAAAAATTAAGTATAATATTTATAAAAAATTTTAGTACAAGTGAAAAAAAACTAATAAAGAGTTATATATATTTATGATTAGTATGTTTTTTAATTAACCTTTACATGTTTTAAAATTAACTTTTTTAAACAATTCTTAAAGTACATGCTCCACAAATAACATGTTTAATACTAACTTCAAGATTTAAAATTTAAATTTAACAAAAAAATAACATATGTTTACTAACGAATCAAATATTAAGATTCTAATTAAGAGATCTAGGTAGAGTTGTTGCTTGCTCGGGAAAAGTGATCAAATATTATTGAATAATTTACCCAACTTTCTTGTGGGTTAAAGATGCCTTCCTCTACCACTTTGGTTAGTATTTTATTTATTCGAGAATAATAGATAGGGTTTTTATTTTATGTTCATAATAACGCGTTTGGGACAATTTATGATTTTGCCTTTATTATTATTAAAAAACAAAAATAATGAAATTTGTTTACAATAAAATAAATAATT